GAGGAACATGATGTTGGGAAGAGTGGAGGGTCGGTGAAGGATAGGAAGACCCTCAATGAGGTGGATTGACACGGTGACTGCTGCAATGGGTTCTTGTGTGTCAGGAAGTGTGAAGATGGAACAGGACAGGACTAAGTTCAGATCTTTTGTTCATAGGATGCTTTCAGTCATACTTGACTGGACGACACCTAACAACAACAACAACAACAACAAACATCTTCTCTTGTTGGTTCAGAAATTTCCATTGATACTCACCCTTCAAGCTTTTTAACCTAATCACAATTCTAATTTTAGAAAAGTGAATTGGGATGTAATTTTACAAGGCACACATTTTTAATGTCCAATCTAAATTTTTTACTGTGAATGCAATCTCTCACTATAGCTCTGAAGAAAGGTAGTGTACATTTTTGGTAACAAGTATATCTTCTTTGGCCTTATATTATTGTCATTCATATAGGTACACACACACACACACACACACTTTATCTTACTTACTTCTTCTTACTTGGATCTACGATTAACACCCTGGCACCAGCTGCCAGGAAATCAGAAGACTTACTGCACTGAGAAAGTCTGCAGTTAGGGAACGCTCCAAATTTTTGAAGAGTAATGACGTCGGTTTGAGAACTGGGCCAATTGGCAGCATCATGATGGATGGTGGAGATTGAGACTGTTAACAGTTTTCGTTTGCTTGGTTCCACATTCATCACTCTTGGTACTAGCAGCCAGGAAATCAAGAGATGAATTGCATTTGGAAAGTCAGATGTCAGGGACCTCTCCAGAGTAGTAAAGAGCAACAATGTCAGCCTGGAGACTAAGGTGCACCTGACCCAGGCCATAGTCTTTACAATTGCTTGCTATGCCTCAGAGAGCTGGACAGTAACTAGGGATGATAGAAAGAGAACTGAATATACCATGGACGGCTAGGGGAAAAAACAGGTTCATCATGGAGAGGGTGAAATTGGGCTGCTCCTTGGAGGCAAGGATTCTGAATCTTCATCTGACATACTTTGGACATGTTGAAAGGAGGGACCAGTCCTTGAAGAAGAATATCATGTTTGGGAGGGTGGAGTGACAGCGCAAGAGAGGAAGACTCTTAATGAGATGGATTGATTCAGTGATTGAAGTAATGGGAGTTGGTGTGTTGGAGACAGTGAGGTTGGCACAGGATAGAACAGTGTTTCAGGCTCTTGTACATAGGGTCTCTATGAGTCACAAGTGACTCAATGGCACATAACAATAACAACAATGAATCTGAGAGCTGGGCAATGAATAGAGATGGCAGAATAAGACTTGATACCTTTGAGACAGCCAAAGAACAAATATGTCTTGGAGAAAATGCTTCTAGAGTGTTCTTTGGAAGCAGACATGCTGAGACTTCACCCCACATAATCCGGGCATGTTGCTAGGAGGGGCTATTCCTTGGAAAGGAACATGAGGCTCAGAAAAGCAGAGGGTATGCAAAGGAGAAGAACACACTAGACCTGTTGGATTGACCTGAGGACTACCACAATGGGCTCTAGTGTGTTGGGAATTGTGAGGGTGGCACAGGACAGGATGGGGTTCAGATCTGTTTGTTCATAGGGTTGCTGTGGTCTGTACTTCACTGAACAGCACCTAACAACAACAACTCTCTTTCTCTCTTTCTTCTTCCCTCCTTCCCTCCCTCCCTCCCTCCCTCTTCCTGTTGTTGAGATATCATCAACTCCTAGCTGACCCTCTAGCGTCTAGAGAGATTTGGGAGCCTGTAAATTGCACAGAATGAGAGTGGCCATTATTCTTCCATGAAGCAGCTGATGGATATGACCCACTGCATGTCCTTTGGGTTAGCAGCATAACTCCTTACTGAGTGGACCACAGGAAATCCCTGTCGTATATATAGCTGTTGTTGTTAAGTGCTGTCCAGTCAGCTATAACTCGTAGCAACCCTATGACAGCAGATCTAAACTCTATTGTGTCCCATCCTTATGATTTCTGATATGCTTGAATCCATTGTCATAGTCACTGTGTCAGTCTAGCTTGTTGAAGATCTTCCTCTCTTTGTCTCCCTTGCCCAGCATGGAGTCTTTTTCCAGCAACTGACTCTTTCTGACAATAGGCCCAAAGTTTATGAAATGAAGTTTCATCATCTTTTTCCTCTAAGGAGTCCCTGCATGTACTTCCTCCAAGACGGTTTTGTTTTTTTTTTAGCTATTCAGTGCTCTTTAGTACTCTTTTCCAACTCTAGAATTGAAAGACAGTGATTCTTCTGTAATTCTTATTAACTGTTGTTGTTGTTATGTGCCGTCGAGTCGCTTGCAACTCATAGCGACCGTATGTACAACAGCCCTAAACTCCGCTCTGTCCTGTGCCAATCGCACTGTCTCTGACACTCCCATCCCAATTATCCCAGTCACTGAATCAATCTACCTCATAGAGGGCCTTCCTCTCCTGCGCTGTCCCTCCACCCCCCCAAGCATGATGTCCTTCTCCAAGGACCGGTCTCTCCTCACAACATGTCCAAAGTATGTTAGATGGAGCCTCCGAATCCTTGCCTCCAAGGAGCCACCCGGTTTAACCCTTTCCAGGACAAATCTTTTATTTTCCCAGCAGTCCATGGTACCCTCAATACTCTTCTCCAACACCACAGCTCAAAGGCATCAATTCTCCTTCTATCCTCCTTGGTCATTGTCCAACTCTCTGATGAATAACAAGTGATTGCGAAGACCATAGCCTGTATCAGACGCACCTTAGTCTCCAGAGAGACACCATTGCTCTTCAGTACTTTGGAGAGGTCCCTAACAGCAGACTTTCCCATTGTAATGCGCCTTTTAATTTCCTGGCTGCTGGTGCCAAGACTGTTGACTATGGAGCCAAGCAAACTAAAGCTGTGTACAATCTCAATCTCTTCACCATCCATCCTGATGCTGCCAGTTGGTCCAGTGGTGAGAATCTTTGTCTTCTTGACATTGAGCCTCAATCCATATTGTAGGCTGCAGTCCTTGACACTCTGCAGCAGGCGCTTCAGGTCCTCTTCAGTTTCAGCAAGCAGGGCTGTGTCATCCGCATAACGCAGGCTGTTGATAAATCATCCACCAATCTTGACCCCACATTTCTCCTCATAGAGCCCAGCCTCCAGGATAATCTGTTCTGCATATAGGTTGAAAGGGTATGGAGATAGGATGCATTCCTGGCCTACGCCCTTCCCAATTTTGAACCATGCAGTGTTCCCTTGCTCTGTTCTGACGACTGTCTCCTGGTCCAAGTAAAAGTTTATGTCTTATTAACTATCCGATATATATTTAATTGTCATTGTTTCTACTAGAATAATAGTTTACTGTCCTAGTGTATTCTAGTAGAGATAGCTGTATTCTTCTGTGTAATAGATTGTGTTCACTTTGGGTACCTGACTTATACCTGACTTGAGAGGACCACTTGGCCTGGGAGTGTGAAATAAATTGAAATAAGGGTAAATACAAAAATATTTGAAAAAAATTGGAATTCTGTGCATAGAGTAGGTCATGCCAAAGAGAATGAAAATAAAAATCATTACATTTATGACAGCAGTAAAGACAAGGAATTGAAGATTTTGACTTATAAATGAGTTGTGTGTCATTGAGTCGGAAATGATCCATAGCTGACCTTCTAGCAGGTTTTTAGAGGCAATTAATTGCACAGGAGGAGACTGGCCGTCTTTCTCCCTCAGGGCAACTGGTGGATTTGAACTGCATGCCTTCATGATTATAACGTAGCTTCTTACCATTGATCCACTAGACCTCTTTTATAAATGAGTGAGCACTATTTAACTGTCTCATGCTATAAACACCGATGGTTTTAGGTAGTGTTACTAATTTCTCACAAATTAGGGGGGGGAAAGTGGAATGCTCCTTTATTTGACTAATATTTATGACCAGAAGTACTGTAACCGAGTTCTTAGGTTCAATCATGTTACTAAACTTACAAACCATGTATGTCAGTTTATTTAATAAGTGTACATGTGTTTCCTTCTCATAAAATAAAATAAAACTAACATGATTATGTTTTCAGTTTGCTGGGTGGGAACTTTTTATGGTTTCAAGCTAGCCTAGTAAACAGTTTTTACTGTTAGCATCAAGTCAGTGTTGTGGACCTGTACTCTCCAGGGTTACCAAGGCCGTGACCTCACAGAAATAGGTCACCAGGCCTGGTTTCTGAGGTACCTGTAGGTGGAGATGCACCACCAACTTAAGGTTGTTAGTCCAGTGCTTAACCATTTGTGCCATGTATTAATATAGCATAATGATTTTTCTATTATTATTGATCTTTTTCTGTTTTGACCTTAAATGACCTAACTTGTCACTCTTATTCCAGTAATTTTAACATTTACTGAAATTTTGGCAATTTGAGTCTTTTTAAAAAAAAAAAATCCATGATTTATAGGAGTGTTTCCTAACTTAAAAGGATAGAGTGGAGTCTGTTGCAAGACAGTGGTTCCTACTATCTAATCTAGTTCAGGATAGATATCAAATACCTGAGAAGATAAAATTTTAATCATCCTATAATGTCAAATTGACTTAGAAGACATTAGATGTTTGGACATGTTTCTATGGTGAATTTTTTGCTATTTCTATTATAGAGTTGATTCTTGAACCTGTGTGGCTGAGTAGAATTGCCCCATAGCATTTCAAAAGCTGTGATCTTTGTGTAAGCTGACCACCAGGTCTGTTCCTTCACAGTGCAGCTTGTGAGTTTGAACTCTCAGCCTTCGGGCACTTACTTAACCATTGCACCACCAGGGATCCTAGTGATATGGTAGCAAGGCCTAAGAAAGGCAACATGCTTTTGTGTTTTATGGATAAATTCATATGCAAATACTTCCACGATGTGCAGTTTTTAAATTCTAAGAAAACGAGAATTTGGACCATCTTTTCGTAAATACGTTCAGTTTCTTTGGTTGGTAAGGTGGCCTACTGAAAGTTATTATGCTCATCATTTCTTGTTGCACATGATCTCTTTACTAAGACTTCGTTTCCTCTCTCCAGGAATTATTTATTTAACATCACCTGTTAGTCATTTGGAATCCACTACATTTTTGCTGAAGGTCTGTGCACGAGATGGTGGTGGACTCACATCAGTCATTAATGCTGATGTCTCTGTGCACGTTCTTGCCACAACCCTAGCACCTGCAGAATTTGAAAGACCCAAGTATACTTTCTCAGTTTATGAAGATGTGCCTGAAGGCAGTCCTGTTGGAACTGTGAAAGCAAGGGAGCCCTTAAGTAAGTACTTCTTATGCTACATGAAAGTGAATTCTTGGAATATTTCCTGTATTATTATTCTTAGGCTGTACCAAGCCGAAGCTGGTGTAGCACCAGTCTGTGCATTGCTGTACAGAGGTAACTCGTGGTTGCTGTGATGCTGAACACTGTGACACTGATGTGCCAAACGTGGTAATGGGTCCCCAGGGTGGACAGTGTTGGCTGGAGCTTCCCGACTAAATCAAGCCTGGAAGCAGGAGCGGCATCCACTTCTGAAATGGCTTGCCTCCAGAAACTACATATGAATAGTGCTCAAGCCTTTCGTTCATAGGGTTGCTATGAGTCGTCTATGACTCGATGGCACCTAACAACAACAACAACTTTGTATAAGGTTGTACATTTTTTTGTTGTTTTTTTAAATCTTTCCATTGTACTTAATGCAGGAGAGAATGAAGGGAGATAATAAAACTTGTGGCTTTGCAGGAGCAATGATTTTGTAAATTATGACCTAACTTGGGAGGGACGGGAGAACGTTATGCTGAGAGAACGAACTCAGTCCCACAAGGATAAATATTGTATAAAACCATTATTATAGAATGAGTATAACGATCTGGCGGGGATGGGAGAGTATTGGATGCAGAGGGATGGGGATGTGCAGGGGAGGGGGGATTAACCATGGAGTTGTACAATTTGATAGATAGAGGGGTATAAGGGAAATGGGAAGAATATGTTCTCAAAAAAATGTATTCAAATTTTGTAAATAAAAAAGTATAAAATAAAGTATAAAAAAGTCAGCTTGGGGAGCGGAAGGTAATGAGAAGGGGTAAAATGTGCAACAATGAATGAATGAAAATCTAACTCTTCTATAAACTTTTGTTACATCACAATTAAGATAAAAAATATTAAAACAACAAATTTGTGGTTTCAGCATTGTTTTTTCCATATGTGTAAACCATATAATTTTTTTCCCTGTAAATTACGGCTCTGTTTCCACTCATATATCTGAGGCAGCTCTGGGGACTTGGTTGGTAGGGAGCTGTGCTGCCAACCCAAAAGTAGTGCTTGTCTGCTGGTTCCAGTCTACCAGCTGCTCCATGGAAGAAAAATGGACACTCTTCTCTCATACAATTTACAGCCTCTGAAAACCTGCTGGAGGGTCAGCTATGAGTCACTTCCGACTTAAAGAGTAGGTGATCAAATACTATATATGTATGAATTGTGGTTTAGGCAAAGAATATTGAATACACTGTCTAAAGACCAAACCTGGCTTGGTAGAGGTATAGCCAGAGTGCTGTTCCTTAGATACAAGGATAATGAAAGTTCATCTTACATACTTTAGGCATGTTCTTAAGGAGTAGCTAGTTCTTGGAAGAAACATCATTCTTGGAAAAGTAGAGGATCGGCAAAGGAGAGGAAAACTTTGGGTAAGGTGGATTGACACAGTCACTGTAGCAAACGATTTGCGCACAGTGGAGGATGGTATAGCATCGGGCAGAGTGTTGTTCATCTGGACAGACTCAACCACAACTAATAGTAAGTAATAATAACTCACACACACACACACACATATATGATTAAAGAAGCAATCATCATCTTTTCCTTGCTGGTGAATCAAATCTGAGTCATAGCTGAACTTTGAATGACTTCTTTTTTTAAAAACAAATCGTTTGTTATTTTAATGAATGTTTACAGAGAAGTCAGATTTTCATTCATTCGTTATTGTACATTTCAAAGTCTATAAATCACATGAGAGAAGATTGTCTATCTTTGTCTATTGGAGCAGCTGGTGAATTCAAACTGCCTTCCTTTGGGTTGACAGCACAACTCCTTACCCACAAGACCACCACAGCAATACAGAATATGTATCATGTAAAAAGTTTAAGTCTCCCATAACCCACTCAAAGTTACTTTATTTTTTGGCAAAATATGTATTCTTCTACATATTTTTTTAAAGTTCTACAACTACATTCTTCCCCTCCCCTTTAGTATATATTGAACATCATTCTGCCTCATTAAAAAATATTTGCATAGTATATCAATTAAGAGATAAACATATTTGATTTAAAAATCCTTGTGCTATTAATTTAGGTGATTCACAACTTTTGTTTATACAAATCGTGAGTATCCTCATCTTTCCTATTTGTGGAGGTACCACTGCAAGATAAACTCCTAGAAATAAATTATATGTCCCAAGAGGTCCTCCTTACCACTCCCTTTTCTTTCCATTGCCTCTTCTATCAACCTTTCTTTTTTTAATTAAATTTTATTCATTTTAATGAACATTTACAGAGATTTGGGGTTTTCATTCATTCATTGTTGCACTATTTTCTCTGCCCTCCTCCCCAGTTCTTCTTCCCCCCCCCCATGAAAGTCTGTTTTAATTGTCCAATTGCCACAGTGCTTGTCAAAGCCAGTTCTGATTAATCTCCTTTGTCAGTGCTAGACTGCAGGGTCTGATGCAAGGAGGACACACTCTGCCTTTTTTTTTTACATAGTAAAATATTTCTTTTCTGTAGCTACACCTCTGTCTCACACTCCTGTCGTGACTCAAATGTCTCCTCATATTATCAATACCAGGGTGTTTCAACATTTTCTTCTAGTAGAGTTTGAAAAGCATCAAGGCCCAGGTCATCTTGACTCAGAAACGGTTGAAGGTCAGGTATTTCCCCAGCTTGTCTCAGGCCTCTCTGCATTTCTACAGGCCTCCTGAGGTCTTCTGCTCTTTTGCATCCTGGCGCCACGAGCTACGCCACTGAAAATATTGGGAGGCTCAGGCACTGCAGAGGCAGCCCCCATACACAGCAGGAAGTATCAGGGAGGTGGAGAAGGTCCTGTAGCCAACGTCGGCGAGCTGCCTGGCAGTTGGCATACTGGTCCCTGCATGCTGCAACTCTTCGTGTCCAGCCATGGCCTCCACAGGTAATGTATCACTCCCACTAGTTACTTTGTCCTAATACACACCTCGGCCCAGTATCGCGTGCTCACCCTGGACCAAGCAGTTGCTGACCTTTTGAGCTTCATCTCAATTAACACAGCCATCTCAAGAGAGGAAGACCTTCAATGAGATGAGCTCACACAGTGACTGCAGTACTGTGCACAGGTGTCAGAGCAAGTGAGGACGGCACAGGACAGGGCAGGGTTCAGAACTGCTGTTCACAGGTTGCCGTGAGTGGTACTTGACTCAATGGCACCTAACAACAATATAATAATAAGAGGAAGAGTGGGGACATTGGCCCGGGTCCGTCTGTTACGCAAAATGTTCTCACAGGGACTGGGAGACAGAAATGATTACGTTTTCAGCTACTAACCAAAAGGTTAGCAGTTTGAATCCAAGA